AGGAGGAGAAACAAATTATGGGATGAAAGTAATTAATTTGGTTTGGGGTACATTGCGTTTGGAGTGGAACACCCAGTTGGAGATTCCTAAGCAAAAAGACAACATGCATATATATACGTGGGAAAATGGCATATGTAGAGATAAATTTGAGTCTTCAGCAACAGTGATTTTCAGTCAGGCTGAGTGGTGAGAGGACGTGCCTTGCCTGGATTTTGGTATGTGGAGTTTCAGCCGTTTATGTGCCATTCCTCACCCCATACTCAGATTCTGCTGGGGAGGGGAGTGTGCCCCTCCCCCACCCCCAGTTAGGAGTCCAGCATGCAGTGACCCAAGAGAATGTGTCCTGTTTCATTTGTACTAGGGCATAAAGAGTGGGTAAGCCCCTGCTAGCTTCTGTTCTTACAGCCTGCGGCCATAGGAACGGAGAAAACTGCCCAGAGAGGACAATATAGTGAGCAGGGGAGATGGAAATAGCGTTTCTGAGCAGCACTAGTATTTAAGGGGCAGACGGGGGAAGACTGCAGGTTGCAGAGAACTGCCCTGGGAGAGGGTGGTGTGGAGGAAGCCGAGGGAGGAGCGGTTTCATGGACAAGGGAGTATGGTCAGCTTTGAAAAATGAGGCCTAGAAGGAGGGCTAAGTGAAACCTGGGAAGAGGTTTGGGCAGTAAGGGGATTGGCCGAGGAAGGAGAGTTTTAGTAGAGTCGCTAGGCAGAAGCTGGACTGCCAAGGGCTGCGGATGAACCCGGAGGGCTGGGAAATAGAGCTGGTGAGCACAGTTTACTCTTTAAGGGCATGTGGCTGTGAGGGGGAAGAAAGTCACTGCTTGAGGATGTATAAGATGGGGAACCGCTAGTGGAAGGCTAAAATCACAGGATCCTGGAGGAGTGACCGTGAAAGGGGTTAGCAGCACAGACGGAGGCTCCTCACGGCTGCTGGCCTTGGAGGTAATTCTGCTAACGGCAGCCCCTCAGATTCACCCGTGCTCCGCTCTTGTCCCATTCACGTTTATGGCCCACGTTCCTCACTCTGGAGTCGTCGTCCACGTTTTCATCCCTCGGAACACACCGCCAGTGTGTGCTCCTACAGTTTCCGACCACTCTTCTTAGTGATGTCATTCCATCAGTTATGGTTTTTGCTGAATAAGTTAATTCATTCAACTTTTTAATTTTAATTTTTTGCCTATTATGCCAGGCACTGAGGATATATTGACAAACAAGAACATTCCTGCCCTTGAGGATCTTATAATCTAATGTGGGAGACAAAATAAACAAATGTGTAATGTGTAATTGCTAGTTTTTTAAGTGCTATAAAGAAAAACAAAGCAGGATGAGCAGGGGAGTTAAGGAGTTACAGAGAAGGGTACAGTTTTAGATAGAAGTAGTCAGAGCAACCTCTCTGAGGAGATGACATTTGAGCAGCGTAGAATGAAGTAAGGGATCAAGGCCACGTGACCATCTGGGGGAAGAGTGCCTTAGCCCATCAGGGGGGATGGCAGGTGCAAAGGCCCTGAGATGGGACTGTGCTCAGTGTGTTCTAGAAACAGCAAGGAGGCTAGTGTGGTGTGTATGTTCTAGTAAAGATGTTGTATTTTATGCTAAGGGCAGTGGTGAGACCTGGGATGGATAGAGCAGAGGAAGCAGATTTATTTTTACAGTGGTGGCTCTGGCAGCTGTGCAGGGAGTAGGTTGTAGAGGAGAAGAGAAACAGGATACAGGCCCCGGTGCTGGGTGGAATCAATAGAATAGAGGAGAAATGTTAGGCATGTTGTGAAGGATTTGTGAATGGACTGCATGCTGTGGGGAAAGGTGTCCTGCTCTAAAAGGGGGTGTCAAAGTTCATTCCAAGGTTTTGGCCTGAGCCAGTGTGTCAGTGGTGGTCTTAAACTGATGTTGGGGAGACTAGTGGAGAGGAGAGTGAATTTTGTGGGGAAACTGTTCGTTCTTCTCAGTTCTCATTTATACAATTTAGTAGTTAATGAGAAGAATTTTAATTAAAGCTGTACGGATCTTAAAGATCATCTAATTCAGTGATTTCCAGGAGAAAGTCATCTTCTGCAGGATTAAAAAGAATACCAGCCTCCCCCATGAAGGTGACTCTTCCCCACTAACTGAGGGTGTTGTACACCCCCCTCCCCGTGTTGGACCAGACTACTGACCAGGGAGAAAAGCTTGGGGTTCTCTTAGTAAATTTCTGCTTATGTGTTTAGTTTGTCTTTTCAGTTTGATTGTAAACTCCTTGAAATCAAGAATTATGTCTTAAATTGCCTCATGTTTTCCTTCTTACCTAGGAGAGTACTGAGTAATAATAATTATTGCAAATATTAACTTGAGCATAAAACATAAAGCAAAGAAAATCAAGTCTTCTGTATACGATGACACCTGTAATCTTACCTGCTGTTATTGGTAAAGGCGTATCCATTGCTGGATTTCCTGGTAGGTTTGGGGTATCAGCAAAGCATCAACATTAAAAGGGAAGGGGGAGAGATGAGAGAGAAAAAGGGAGGAAGGGAAAATGGGAAATCAGATAACCCAGAAAGAAGGCATTAGGGAATGATTTTTCCCTTAGCATACTTTGGCAAACTGCCTCTCATTTTGTGATGGCTTTTGTGTTGAACTATGTGAGAGTGAGACTAAAATAGTTATTTCAGTTCTTAGAACTTCTATAGGTCTGACTTCAGCCTTGGGAAATCTTCTCTGTATGTCTGGTGGTTGATATGTGTTTGATATTAAATTGTACCCATTTTGTACTTTTATTGTCTAATAGATATGTGTATAACTAATGGCTGTAGTTCTAATTTGCTGTTTTTGGTTGCTAAAATTTTCTTACACTTTTTTCCCTCAATTTTTACATGTATGCTGTAGATGGCACATGACAACATTGGTTTAGAGGAGCAATGTCTACTGTCAACTCAGGTGCAATGTTCTAATTTGAATGGATGCTCAGAGCTGGTGATAGATGCACTTTGAAGGTTGCATTATAAACCTCCGACTCATTGTACTGGTTTTTAGCACTTGCTTTTGCGATGGTCCACACACGGCATCCCAAACTCCTGTTTTGGCGAAGAGCTGGCACTTGCAGCTGGTATTAGAGTTCTCAAGTGTACTTTGTAAATTGCCTTCTTCCTTCCTTTCTTCCATTGCTTTCTTCCCCATCTTCAAAGGTAGGTGAAATTGAATAATGTTCTAGAGAATAAGTTCAAAATCTTGGTATTTTCCACTGGGTCAATCAAGGAAAGTAAGCCTTTAAAGAAACACCTCTGCCTTCTTGGTAACGTGGAAGAAAGTTGCACTTCTGTTTGGCGTGTGAGTACATACACTTGGGCAGAGAGACCAGCTCTGTGTTTAAAATCTTAGTCTAAGAACTCAAAATTTTTCTCCCAGTTTTGCCTGGGTTTGGTTCTTGATGCATACTGTATTCTTTTATAGGTTTTATAGTGCCCAGCTATAAATGAAGTTAATATAGTCTTTTGGGGTATACTCATTTATGAAAAAACAGTTCACTGGATCCTGTGTGTATAGTGTATTAATGGGTGAAATGATAATAGTTAACACTTGCTGAATGATTTTTATCTTCCAAGCCCTGCATTAAACACTTTGTACACATTTTACACATTGTTCCCCCTCCTTGCCAGAATGGAAGCGGCACCCACAACAAGAGTTTATACTTTGTAAGGGCAGAGGTTTTGGTCTATTTGGTCTGTGTTCTATTTTTGTTTCATCCCCACTGATGAGAACAGTGCCTACCACATAGTAAGTAGTACTAAGGAAATGCTTTTTTGAATAAATGAATTATTTTCTTTAATATTCAGCAGCCCCCTGAGGTAGAAATTAGAAATTACTATCGATTGATTGCTGGTAGATGGTGGAGCCAAGATGTGAGCTTGTGCTCACAGCTCTTCCCTCCATGCTGGGGAGCAGCATGAAGTCTTAGTCAAGGGCGATTTTCAGTTCCTGCCTCCTGTCTAGTAGACACAAAGTTTACGTAAAAGGCTGAGCTGTAGGGAAGCAGTTCTTTCTAGACGATATGAAAAGTGTGAAAAGTGCTAGAAGAATTACAAGTAGTGAAGATGGGGGTGAATAGGTGTAACTTGCCTGGAGCTGTGCTCACACAGCAAATGCTTGAACATGATGGCTAATTACTCTTACTGCTGCTACTGTTATGTCACTGTCATCATTAGCATAATTTTTTGGGAATGTTACAAACTGCGTTCTAAAGCAAATGACTGTTCATGTCTGGACTGAACTGGTCAGAGATGGTTTCATGAACAAGATGGTCCTTGTCTCATGGACAGAATGTGGGTAGGTGGGGACAGGAGAGGACTTACTTGAGATGAAAAAAAATCCTGTAAACATGGGGAATGAGGCTGAAAATGTGTATTCCCTGTTCCTTGGATAGCAAGGAGACATATTAATATGTCTGGCACAGGAGGGGCATGTTAGTACTAGAGGGAGAAGGATTAAGATCGATAATTTAGAATTTGTTTATGTTATGAATGCTACCTTATATTCATAATACCAGATTTGAAACCTGCATGTGCTTTAATCAGTGACCAACCAACACCCTTTGATAAGAAAGTATATGGTCATTTTTTAATGCTCTAATTTATAGTTGCAATATTGTATCTTCTTGAGAAATAATATCGGTTCTTTTGGTCTCACATAGCCTGTGAGACAAGCTTTGTCCTAATAAAAAGGCCACTTCCATTTGGTCTAGTGTTTTGAAATTTAAGACTTTCCTTTATGAGTATTGACTCAAATGTATCTTGGAGATTAGTAAGAGTAGTAAATGCTATCATAGTCTCCTTCACATCCCTGCCTTATTCATGCTCGTATCTCTTCCAGCACTGAACATGGTTGCTGGCATAAACTAAGGGTGCAATACATTGCAGTTTAATTGAATTTTCAAAGCATGTGAGGCTGGCCACCTCTGCACTTGTGGGAGTAATTTGCAGCAAAGCTATATTTTTTGAGTTATGTGACACATTTAATCCTGTTTTCAGATCCAGCCTGATGACCGGAGGGGCTAAGCGAGGAGTACCCAGCCCTTGGCTCTTGGAGGAGCCAGAGGAGACCAGAGGCTTGGGTGTTGATGGAATCCGACAGCAGCAACAGCAGATCATCCAAGGTACTGATGTCGGGGGTGTGGGCACGGGACCTGCCAGGTGTCTGCTGAGCCCCGAACGTTCCCTACGCCCACTGAGAATCAGGGGAACTGTTGGTCCTCTAAAGCTCTCCACGACTCCGTGCCTCAGGATGCTGGAGGCATGGACAAGAGGTGTCATCCCTGGGGAACTGCACGGAAGTAGTGATTCCCTGCTGGGAGACAGCGTGCGCTCGGCTCTGACTCCAGTAAGCCCAGGGGTGACTGTGGCTTTAGGATTCATTTTCCTGATGACTAATCAATCTTTGCATGTGCTTACTAGTCATTAGTATGTCTTCTTGGTAAAGTATCTGTTCAGATTTTTACCTGTTTTTAACTAGGTTGTGTTTTATTACTGAGTTGTAAGAATTTTTTAACATATCCTTTTATGTGTCATTTGTCAGATATATTTCACAAATATTTTTTCTCCATCTATGGCTTATATTTTTCATTTTCTTAGCAATCTTTTAAAGAGCAAAAATTCTTAATTTTGATGAAGTCCAGTTAGAAATCTTTTACTACCTAAATTCACAAAGATTTGCTGCTTTGTTTTTTTCCCAGAAATTTTAATAGTCTTATATTTTACATTAGGATTATGATCTACTTTGAGTTTATTTTCTATATAGTAAGGTATAAATAGACATTCAGTTTTTGTTCTTCTTTGCATTTGGGTATCTGTCTCAGTGCTATTTAAAAAAAAGATTATTCTTCCTCTACAGAATTACTCTTGTCAAAAATCAATTGTCCATTTATAAATTGGCCTGTTTTCGGACTCTCCGTTCTGTTCCACTGGTCCATTTGTTTAATCTTTACATCAATGCCACACCATTTCGATTATTGTACCTTTGTCATAAGTCTTTAAGTCACATAATATAAGTCCTCCAACTCTGATCTTTTTCTAAAATTTTATTGGATATTCTAGGTCTTTTACATTTCCATGTAAATTTTAGAATGTTTTGTTAGATTTATACTTAAGTATTTCATATTTTTTAGTGCTAACATAAATGATATGAGTTTTTAATTTCAAATTCTACCTGTTCATTGCTGGCATATAGGAAACTGATTGACTTTTGTATATTAGCCTTTTATTTTACAACCTTGCTATAACTGCTTATTAATTCGAGGAGATTTTTTTTGCCAATTCTTTTGAATTTTCTGTATAGACGATCATGTCGTTTGCAAAGTTTCATTCTTTTCTTCCCAACCTAAGTACCTTTTCTTTCCTTCTCATTTCCTTTTCTTTGTTTAATCTTTACATCAATGCCACACCATTTTGATTATTGTACCTTTGTCATAAGTCTTTAAGTCACATAAGTCCTCCAACTCTGATCTTTATCAAAATTTTTATTGGATTTTTTTTATTAGAATATAGTATTTATATATAAGAATAAATTTTATTCCCTCCCTCCCTCCCTCCCTCCCTCCCTTCCTTCCTTCCTTTCTTCCTTCCTTGCTTCCTTGCTTTTTCCTTCCTTCTTTTCGTCTTTCTTTCTCTCTCTCTGTCTCTCTCTCTCTCTCCTTTCTTTCCTTTCTTTCTTTCTTTCTTCTCAGTACAGTGTTTAAAAGGAGTGGTGAGAGGATTTTCTTGCCTTGTACCTGGTATTATGTGGAAAGCTTTGAGTTTCACACCTGTAAGTATGATGTTAGCTGTGAGGATTTTGGAGATATCCTTTATTGAGTTGAGGAAGCTCCACTCTCTTCCTGGTTTACTGAAATGGCTGTTAGATTTTGTAAAATACTTTTTCTGCATCTAGTGATATGATCATGTGATTTTTGTTTTATTAGCCTGTGGTGTGATGTATTACATTAATAGATTTTTTTATTAGTTTTATTTTGTTATCATTAATCTACAATTACATCCCACTGAGAATCAGGGGAACTGTTGGTCCTCTAAAGCTCTCCACGACTCCGTGCCTCAGGATGCTGGAGGCATGGACAAGAGGTGTCATCCCTGGGGAACTGCACGGAAGTAGTGATTCCCTGCTGGGAGACAGCGTGCGCTCGGCTCTGACTCCAGTAAGCCCAGGGGTGACTGTGGCTTTAGTACGCATTTTTCTGATGACTAATCGATCTTTGCATGTGCTTACTAGTCATTAGTATGTCTTCTTGGTAAAGTATCTGTTCAGATTTTTACCTGTTTCTAACTAGGTTGTGTTTTATTACTGAGTTGTAAGAATTTTTTAACATATCCTTTTATGTGTCATTTGTCAGATACATTTCACAAATATTTTTCCCCATCTCTGGCTTATATTTTTCATTTTCTTAGCAATCTTTTAAAAAGCAAAAATTCTTTATTTTGATGAAGTCCAGTTAGAAATCTTTTACTAACTAAATTCACAAAGATTTGCTGCTTTGTTTTTTTTCCCAGAAATTTTAATAGTCTTATGTTTTACAGTAGGATTATGATCTCCTTTGAGTTTATTTTCTGCATAGTAAGGTATAAATAGACATTCAGTTTTTGTTCTTTGCATTTGGGTATCTGTCTCAATACTATTTTTAAAAAAATGATTATTCTTCCTCTACAGAATTACTCTACTTTTGTCAAAAATCAATTGTCCATTTATATATTGGCCTGTTTCAGGACTCTCCATTCTGTTCCACTGGTCCATTTGTTTAATCTTTACATCAATTCCACACCATTTCGATTATTGTACCTTTGTCATAAGTCTTTAAGTCTCCTAATATAAGTCCTCCAACTTTGATCTTTTTCTAAAATTTTATTGGATATTCTAGGTCTTTTACATTTCCATGTAAATTTTAGAATGTTTTGTTAGATTTATACCTAAGTATTTCATATTTTTGAGTGTTAACATAAATGATATGAGTTTTTAATTTCAAATTCTACCTGTTCATTGCTGGCATATAGGAAACTGATTGAGTTTTGTATGTTAGCCTTTTATTTTACAACCTTGCTATAATTGCTTATTAATTCCAGGAGATTTTTTTTGCCAGTTCTTTTGAATTTTCTGTATAGATGATCATGTCATTTGCAAAGTTTTATCCCTTTCTTCCCAACCTAAATACCTTTTCTTTCCCTCCCTCCCTCCCTCCCTCCCTCCTTCCCTTCCTTCCTTCCTTCCTTCCTTCTTCCTTCGTTTGCCTCTCTCTCTCTCTCTCAGTTTCTTTCTTTCTTTTGTCTGATTGCATTAGTTAGAATTCTCAGTACAGTGTGGAAAAGGAGTGGTGAGAGGATTTTCTTGCCTTGTACCTGGTATTAGCTGGAAAGCTTTGAGTTTCACACCTTTAAGTATGATGTTAGCTGTGAGGCTTTTGGAGATATCCTTTATCAAGTTGAGGAAGCTCCACTCTCTTCCTGGTTTACTGAAATGGCTGTTGGATTTTGTAAAACACTTTTTCTGCATCTAGTGATATGATCATCTGATTTTTATCAGCCTGTAGTGTGATGGATTACATTAATAGATTTTTGAATATTGAAACAGTCTTGTATACCTGTGATAAATCTTACTTTGTTATGGTATACAGTTTTGGGCTTTTAAAAAATTTTTTATTAAGGTATCACTGATATAAACTCTTAATGAAAGATACACATGAAAATCATTGTGGTTACTACATTTACCCATATTATCAAATCCCTCTCACAACCCATTGAAGTCACTGTACGTCAGCATAGTAAGATGCCACAGAGTCACTACTTGTCTTCTGTGTGCTATGGTGTCTTCCCCGTGACCACCCCCAACAAACACCATGCATAACAATCATAATACCCCTTGATCTGTTTCTCCCTCTCTCCTGACCCTCCCTCCACCAACCCTCCCCTTTGGTAACCGCTAGTCCACTCTTGGAGTATGTGAGTCTGCTGCTGTTTTGTTCCTTCTGTTTTGCTTCATTGTTATACTCCATAAATGAGGGAAATCATTTGGTACTTGTCTTTCTCCGCCTGGCTTATTTCACTGAGCATAATACCCTCTAGCTCCATCCATGTTGTGGCAAATGGTAGGATTTGTTTTCTTCTTCTTTTTTTGAGAGGGCATCTCCCATATTTATTGATCATTTGGTTGTTAACAACAATAAAATTCTGTATAGGGGACTCAATGCACAATCATTAATCAACCCCAAGCCTAATTCTCAACAGTCTCCAATCTTCTGAAGCATAACGAACAAGTTTTTACATGGTGAACAAGTTCTTACATAGTGAATAAGTTCTTACATGGTGAACAGTGCAAGGGCAGTCATCACAGAAACTTTCGGTTTTGATCTCACGCATCATGAACTATAAACAATCAGGTC